CAGCCTCTTCCCAATATGCGTTTTTGCAATTTACATATATGCAAAAACGCATAAAAAAAAAATTGCCCAACGCACGGCTGCCCGTGCGAAGATACGTTTTTTGCATAGTTTTCCGCAGTTTTTTTCGCTACCAACATCGGTTTTTTTTGGCAAATGTTTCTAGCTTAACAAATTAAGACTGGCCGCCAGAACTTTCAGTAAACACCCTCTTAAAATTTTAGCTCTCTAGCTTTCCTGGCTCCTGAGTTAGCAACTTACTGGAAGAAAACTTTCACAGGCCGCACGTGGGCACCACGCATATCCGATGTCTGGGTTTCAGCTTGTTGAGACTTACGTGGACGATGAACATCTTCTTAAAACTACAGTCTTTCAGCTTTTCAGGTTCCCGAGTTATCAACTTACACGAGAAAAAGTTTGGTAAGCCCATGCGTGGGTACCAAGCATAATTGAGGGCTGAGTTTGAGCTCATTGAGACTAAGGTGAACGAGGAATATCCTCTTAAAATTACAGTCCTTTAGCTTTTCAAATTCTCGAGTTATTAACTTACCCAAGAAAAATTTGGCGAGCCCGTGCTCGGGTACCACGCATGCCCGGGGGCTGAGTTTGAGCACATCAATATCCACTTGGACGTGGATACCAAGGATACCCGGAGACTGGTTTTGAACTCACTGATATCTGCGCAGACGAGAAACGCCTTCTTTAAATTTCAGCTTTTCAGCTTCTTTGGTTTCCGAGTTAGCAGCTTGCCCGTAAAAAACTTTGGCGAGCCTATACGTAGATACCGCGCGGGTAAGAGCGCCCATTTTGGGGATGGAGGCCCGCACATACATGTAGCTTAAGTCACAAAATTTTAGCCCCATAGCTCTTGTAGTTCGCGAGGTGAAAAAACGGTACAGGCGAACACACGGACACACACACACATACACACACAGACACACACACACAGTCAATCCCTCCTCAATATGCGTTTTCTGCATTGCACAGCTGCCAAAAACGCATAATAAAAAAAGTGTTTGTGCGCAACACATCAAGAAACTTCCCATTAACTGTATGTGTAAAATTTTGTGCTTATTTCAAAAAAAAAGAAAGCAAAATTCGGCCAAAAGCATTTCGTCTACTGAATGGGTCTACCTTTACTGCACAC